GAGTTTTAGAATCTTTCACAGGCAGCTATAGGTATCCATTGGGGTAAACTGGTTGCAAGCAGCACAGACCAACTCTGATTATTGATTTATCGGAAATGAGAGAATTATAAGAATCTATGATGATGCTGAAGAGCTAAGTTTTAAAAGGATAGGATCCAAGATGCTCTGATAGGGAAAGGGCCTCAGAAACTATTCAGTGGTCTCAGCTGAAGGAATCGTGGCAGTTTTCCCTTAACTTTGTTTCTCTCTGCTTGAGACAGAAGTCCCAAGAAAAAGAGTTGAATTGGTCTAATACTAGCCATAGGCTTTCAGTCTTCCATCAGGGCTGGACAGAAGACCCTGAATTTTGGTCTCACTAGTGACTGTAGAAAAACAAAGGGATTGAATAGAATGGGGAAAGGAGGTGGTAGTGGTATTACCATAAGGTAATCTGAGTGTGGTTATCCACATACAGGCTGTGTCTCTGGCCAATATGAAACCAATGTCCTCTATGTATTAAAAAAATTATTTTAACCCTAAAAACTAGGTCCCATCTATTTAACATTCATTAACCAATTTAAAAACACACATGTAGAATTTTCATCTCTAAATTATCAGACTAATTTTAGTAAGTAGTATAGTACTTGATGCATAATAGCTACTCCTTAAATATTTTGAATAGGTGTTGTTTTCATCCTTTCCTTTATGCCATTTATACTTACTAATACCTAGCAAATAGTCCATATTCAAAATTGATGAAATAGAATCTCTAAAAGAGAAGGCTCAATGCAATGGTAAGAGTATTAGATTAGAATCTTTTCTTGCTTCTTCCCAGTGTGACCTTGGGGATGGGTCATAACCACTTTGGGTTCATTTCATCTATAAAATGAAGTAGTAGAGGTAGACGCTCTTTAAGAATCTGTCCAATTCTGTAAGTCTAACATCATAATCACAAATACAGAGTCAGCAAACTTGGAAAAAAATGTTTATAATTTTCACAGTATGAAGTGGCTATACCCTGAATCTGGACAGAAAGTAAAATCTAAGTTACTTGGTGATATTTAGGAGAAATTGCCAATATTGTAGAAAATCTAGATCACTGTTATCAAACTTTAAAAGAAGGGCAGAAGAATCAGTTTTTCAAATGAAATCTTACATTGAATTCCAATGTCTAAAACAAACAAAAAGGTCAAAATACTCTGACTGAAACAACAGAGCGATGCCTGGAGCCCCATGTTTGCACCTTCTCCCACACATTCCTGGCAACATTGTTTGACATCAGTCTAATTCCTATCTCTAGACTTTTCTATACTTTGAAGTAGTCTTAAAATTATATTACCAATTTCATTCAGATAAGAAAAATTAAAGAAAAAGCTTTCCATGGAAAAGTATTCAAATGACTTAAAGCCAATTTTGAGTCTACCAATTAACTTTAATTTCAAAAATAAAATCCCCTACATTACAGACTAGTAATATTTGGACTAAGATTATTATATTAGACAGTGAAAATTTAGGCTTCAAAATGTTTTACAAGACTTAATAAATTCTGAAATATGAAAAAACCCTCTAACATAGATTTTAATTCTGCTTATAATTTTGATATTTTAGTAAGTCATCTTCTATGTTTTTTCCTAAAGTCCTACTTCAGAATGCCTGTCTCTGAAAGCCAAAGCAATTTGGTGTATGCCATTTTTTTAACCACCGAAGGTAAATTTACTAAAAAATATTAAATGACAAATACAGATTGCCATCTCTGTGGTTAATGGTCATTACTTTCTTAGCTTAGCAGAGAGAAGCAATTGCTCTTCTTATAAAACCTGCATTCTGTTCATTCCTCTACTTGGAAATATTATTACTGAAATCATGAAGACACATTGCGATTAACTTGGACTATGGGTTTCATACATAAAATGTCCCGTGAGTCTATGTTTTTGATGTTGTTTAAAAAATTCCAACATCCCTGTTAGTCATCTTTATTTATTTATGAACATTAATGTAGATAAAAGTATAAGTTTTACCTTAAGTTTTACCACTGTTTTCTGGTCTATGCTGCTGATACCAAACTTTCTTGATCTCCTGATAAATGGTTTCAAGATTTGCTTTATAGCAAATCTGAAGACATATCAGCTATGTATATAACAGATGCTACTGATGAACTGCCCTTGTTTTATTATTTACCATTTGTAGGAAGAACAGCTTCACTTTTATCTGCCAGTGATTTATCTTTGATTTCCCTTTCAGAAATGCCCAAACTACAACACTACTGAGAATCAAGTGATATATGTCAATAGTAGGCAGAAGCCAGATCAGTCTGGACTTTATAAGCAGTTGAGATTTTACACAACTTTAAGAAGCACTGAGAGTATTTAAGAAAAAGCTTGACACAACCTAAATTTTAGTAAGACCCATGTTTCTTCCAAAAGAGATTATAAAACAGAAAAAGAAGTAGAGAAACTAGTTAGGTGATCATTGTACTAGAACCTAGTGAGCAATGATGGTTAAAGTAGGATACTAACACTAGATGGATTCTGGATATTATCTGTTAAAATATTCTGCCTACAAATAACCAAATACCCAACCTAAGGAAATCTGCAGGTTTATTTTACAGGCCTAGTCCTAGAGCAGGCTCGATGAAATCATCAAACAGCCCTATACTTTCAAATCTTATCATCCTGATCCTCAACCTAGAAGGGTTGTTATTTGTTACTAGCAATTAAGATTAGATACTCCCAAATTTATATTCAGAATTTGACTTCATGTGACTATTTTTGAGGCAGAACTCCTTTTTGCCAGTTGCCCTTGCCAACTTCACTGGCTCTAAGTTATTTAAATCTGTGTATCCCTTATCTAACTACTTGCAGAAGAAAGGAAGTCAGCAGGATTGTCTGAAGACTGAGCCCCATCTTGCCCTGAGCTGGGAATGGTGTTGGTGTTGGCTTGCCTTGAGTCACAAGTCCTATATGAAAGAAAGATGGATACTTTAAGTGGGGATGAAGTTTTGCTAGGAAAGAGGAAGGGGGACTGGATATTGAGTAGGCAAGAAGTGCTATCAACTACACGGAACATGTTTTGAAAGAGTTGACTGGCTTGCCAATGGATTGGATACTAAGAGAATACAGAATTAAAGAGCAATTTTTATATTTCTGACTTCATCAACTGGGTAGGAAAAGCAAGATGTGAAAGACTGGAGGAAAGATCAGACTTTTTGTTGTTTGAGACAGGGTCTTGCCTCCTGCCTCTGCTTCCCGAGTACTAGGACTACAACTGTGCACTGCCAGACTTGGCAAGATCAGATTTGAGAAAGATACTCAAGGTTTTTGTTTTCATCAAATTAAGATTACTAAAGACAACGTATAAATACAGCAACAAGTCAAGTCAGATTTAGCAGTGGGGTACAACAGGAGACAGTATGGTAGCTGGAAAAGCCCCAGCATCATGTGGGGATACGGAGCATAGTGCAAACTGTCAGCTCTCAACCAAAAGGATGGGATATATGGCCCCTCTCAACTTCATCAGTGTAGTACAAAAAGGATATGAGTATGTTAAAAATGTCACAGATCAAAATATAAAAAGGCATTGTTATTATCATATAATCTTTAAAGGTACTGTCTAGAACATTGAGAAAATATGCAGTATTTCTTAGCATGCTGTAACATTCACATGGCTGCCCGTGCTTCACTGTATTTACAAAAGTTATCAGTAATAGTAAGTATAGGGCTTTTATAGTTTCCAAAGTTCTTCTGTGTATCTTAATCCATTTGATCAACTAGCAGTTGTCAGGTAGATAAGATTTATTTTCAGAAGGAGAAAATATTTCTGTTCAACTCCCATATCAGAACTTGTTTGCAGCATTGATGCAGAAATTTTAATTTGAAATTAACAGTACTGATAATTCTACTTAATATTATTTAAGTTTGAAAATATTCCTTTCAAACCTCAGTATATTAGTTTTATTCTAAGCCTTATCAAAAAGATAACCTTTACAACCCAAATTAAATCTCCCCCTTAGCAATAAGTCTGGTAAAAGAAATCACTTTGAAGAAACTTTATTGTACTAAAATAATCTGTTGTGGTACATAGTACAAGTGCTATGACTTGTTGATAAAAGTATTTTGAGCACAGTTCCCTAATTTTTAACAGAAGATACTTTCTTAAAACTGATCATTCAACTGACTTTAAGTACTAGTCATACTCTATAAACCACTAATATTATTCTTCATAGCTCAGGAGCTAAGTTATATTTTAAAATGATTAATTATACACAGGACTCAGACATCAGGGAGCAGAAGCTGAACCCTAAGCAATGGTGGAGGCCCCAGCGCTGGGTCACTGGGTCCCTCACATCTGCTGCCCTCTCACAGTGCAATCCCTCGCCTGACTATAAACATTCTTTCACTGAATGCTGTACACACAACATATTTGGATTCCTTGGGAACATTGGGTTCTGAGGGCCTTGCTGCTGGGTGCAAGGATTCAGGTGTGTGGAAGCCTGGGACCCCAGAGAGCTGCTCCATTCTGGGGATGTCTCGGCTAGGAGTGGGCTGCCCCGTGGATGGGCTTTTTTTTTTCTGTGAAACTTTTCAGCAGCAGCATACAAAGTGTATTAATTATTCTTAGTCAATTGTTATTTTGTTATGAAATTTTATTTTCACATAAATTAATGAGCTAAAAACCCCCACAGGTTTTGAAGGGTCACTTTGTAAATGTCACTAAATGTTACCTAAGCTATCAAAATATAGAGGACATTAAGGTTTAATGTAATATAAAAGAAGTACTTCATAAAATTGGACTAACATTTACGTGTTGCAGCTTAAGAAATGTTGTTGCAGCTTAAGAAAAGTACTGAATTGGTAATCAGATGAATTCTAAGCCCAGATCATTTAACAAGAGTCCTACTGAACATTACCAAAAAAAAAATAAATCATAATATAGAATTTTACTGTCTCAATAGAATAAGGCTCTGTAAAAGCATAAGTATAAAACTAACGATTAAACAGCAAAAGATTAAGACTGAACCAAACCAAGATTTCATCAAAACATTTATTTTTTTGTTACAAAAAAATTCAAGCAAATAATGAAATAAACATATTTTTAAAAGCATTCCATCCTGGTTCTTTGTCCTAGAATTTAGTACACAGTTCAAACTGAGGGTACTTCAACACTTCTTCTGGCTGCTATCTTCTGGCTGCTACGAAGTCTCCATCTTATAACCATGTTTCTCTAGTTCAGCTCTACAATAAAACATAAAGAACAGTAGGCATTTCTTTATGATGTCAAAAAATATGTTTTTAAAAAATAATACAATTTATAAATATTAAGTCCACGACTTACAAACAAGTTCCATTCTGGAAGAATGTTTGTAAGTCAGATTTGTTTGAAAGTTAGTCTTACACTGTACTTTCACATTTGTTTCTATGAATATTGCTTTGCATGTACTAATAGTGTCCTTCACATTATCACTACTCTTCTTCTTGCTTCTGGACATCCTAGGCTCTCATTGAGCTCTGTACTACTGTACACTATTACACTGTACAGCAGCACACAGCAGCACAACTGTGACAATGTCTGGCAGACACATGAGCTACTTCCATGATTTGTTTGCAACTACGAATGTTTGTAATGAAGGTCCATTGGTATCTATGAAAATGACTCACTCTAAATCAATGAACTAAGCCTAAGGCATCAACTTAAAATATTACCACATGCGTTTATTTTAGAAAAGAAACATGTACAAAGGAAATGATGTGAATCACTTTCTTCCTTAATTTTCCTATAAATCTATTTATGGAAGAAACTTAAGGGATTTACCACTATCCTCCAAATACCTCCTAAACACTATACAAGTGTTTTGTTCCTAACAAATAAATGCAAAATTTTGTTTATTTTTGATTTGGTGGTGCCAGGGACTGAACTCAAGGCTTCAGACAGGCCTACCAGGTGCTCTACCAGCTCTGCCCCCCAACCCCTTATATATAAACTTTAAGAATCATTAATCTTAGTGGTAAGTACATATTAGTATCAAATCTTTAAGGATTTTATAATCATCATAACAAGTATTACAGTTATACACACAGAAGGAATAAGCAGATTGTTTCCATATTGACATGTAACTATTGTTCTAACCAAGAAAAAAATTTTAATCCAATTTAAGGAAGTGTGAGAATTTTTTTGTATTACCCATATGTAGTCAAAATAAATAGAATAAATGTCATAAAATAGCAAACAAAATTTTACCTAATTTCAAATGTAGATAAAAATATAAAAAATTTATGTACAAATATGCATTGAAAAGATACTTTATTTCATTTTAAATAACTTATCCAACCTGAAATTTCAGTCATACTTTGAGAATGTCAACCTCAATTGCTGATCTGCTTTGTATAAAACATTTGTATAAAGAAGTTTAACTGTGTAATCAACTTCAACTATTTTAAATGATATATCTACTTCAATTCAGACTTTCTAATAGTGCATGAGAAAACTGGAGGAAAAGTCTACAACAAAACATTGTGTAAAAGTACAGAATGATTAATATGCTCTGTACATTATATCCAGGAAGATAAAGACATTTCAAGTACAATTTGGCTTAGATACCATTTAAGTATAATGCAAAAATCGCATGGTAGGAATGATGTATAATATTTATTATTCATTTCTCTAAACTGCTTCATTTTAATATTTTAGTTATTTATAAGAGAAATACTGACCTAATTTCCATGAATTTTATCAAAGCCAGACTATTTGTGTGAAGAGCTCCGAGTAGGCTAGCAGTACAAACACTGGATTCGAAGAGCCCAGTGCAAGTCTCTGACTGCAGTCTTTCTTTTGCTAAATTTAAATTGTTTCATTTGGGCTCCTTCCCTTCCCCTTAGGAAACTGGAAGATTTTAATGTCTGTCTTTCATATATAACAACTTATCTCCTTTGTTTTGAGAGCTATTTAAATCAGAGGAAGTTATACACATGTAATGCAGTATTAAAATAAGAACTAGGTTGAAGGGAAAAGCTAAAAGCTTCTATTTTTGTTGATCACAGAAAGTGCCTTAAATGTTTCCTAGAAAAACTATTGTTACCAATCTTATGGGAATTTCATAATTTTCTTTGAATTTTATCTTATACTAAAAGTTTATACTTTTTGTAAAACTTTCTTAAACATTAGCTTTTTTTCCTTTTACACATTCACTATTGATTATTCACTTTTTCTTCTTTTAACAACAACAACAAAAATAAAATCCACTAGCATTCAACCTAAGAGTTAAATAGACCAAATTTATCCTCCAGGTTTGTGCATATTTACCTTCCTGATGGGAGGTGGTCACCAATTACATTTATAAACTGTAAACACAAAGGAGATTGAAGTGCTATCAACTAAATTCTCAGAGAAAATACAAAGTTCTTTCCTAGGATTTAAAAGCATATTAAACCAAAAGAAAAATAAACTGAGGGCACTAAGTACAAAACAAAAATACTAATATTATTAATACAGACTGAATGAAAAAAATTCAAAAAAGACAAGCGGGAAGAAATTTGTAATACCTAGAATGGTTTTATAGAAGACAGTGAATGGAGACTATTTGAAACAAAACCAACAGCTTTCCTTTTGCAAAGAAAACAAGAAAAACGCTAATAGCAACAAGGAGGCTCTCAGCTTTATTACTGTGATTGTATCTGATATGGTAAATCACAAACTATAGGGTTTCTTGGAGTTTTTATGTAAGATGCAGTGTCAGGAAAAGTACCTAATTTTCTATCATATATACACAGAAACAAATGATCAGGTCAGAGCAACAAAAAAATAGTGATTCTTAGTTCTTGGAAGATACAGATGGCCTTAATGTATTTCTATTTGTTCAAGGTCATTACATTGAATGAGAAAAAGAGAAAATGGCAAGTGGGCAGCCTGCTAGATTGAGAATTTCTCTTTAACACAAACCATATTCTAAATATTTTACATATATTAACTTAATCTTTATAATAACCCAATGAGTAAAGTCCTAATTATCTGCCTTTTTTATGTGAGAAAAGCGAGTCACAGGAAGGCAGAATGACTTGTTCAAGATATGTGTAGCTAAATAAGAGGTAGATCCAGGGTTGGAACCCAGTAAAATATCAGCCGCCTCTCCAAAGTTAGATGGAATTAGTATTGACCAAGGTCAGAAAACAGTAAAATAAGTTCTTTACCATGACTCATAATACTACAGTGAGGGCCTCCACACATTATACAAAGATCAAGATTAACAACTTATTAATCAATACCAATTAGTTAAAGGAAGGATTGTTTATGGCTGTGCTGCTCAATATGGTAGTTATATGTGGCTTTTTTTTTTTTTTTGGTAATATTGGGGATTGAACCCAGAGCCTATGCACTGAGCTGTATCCCCATTCCTTTTTTTAACTTTTTGAGGCAAGGGTCTAAGTCAGTCAGATGCCCAGGCTGAGCTCATACTTGTGATCCTCCTGCCTCAGCCTCAGAATGCTGGGACTACAGGCATGTACCCCCATATCCACTTTTATGTGGCTATTTAAATTTGAAAATTCTGGCTCTTCATCTGCACTAGTCATATTTTATGTGCTTGAAATCCATATGTGATTAGTGGCTTCTGTACTGTACAGCTTAAAGAACATTTCCATCACTACAGTAAGTTCTGTTTGACAGCACCACAGATAACATCAATAACCTTAGCTAAAAACCATGGCTTAAGTAGAGAAATAAAAAGCAGACACTTTATCGCTAATGGATATATCACAGTTTATACACACATGGAATTCTAGGGGCCCAAAGGCAGGAACACAACAGAGGAAAAAAAGAGCACTGAGAGGTATATTAAAAAAACAAAACAAAAACAGTCACAAAGAATACAGTATGTAGATGAAGCTCTATTTTTAAGGCAGTAAAAAGGCAAGAAACAAAACTGGTATGAAATTCAATTATCGATACATTTACTATGACAAGCCCTCTGATAAAAATCGTAATATCAATAATCTCTTGAGTAATTTCTAAGAGAAAGCTGCCATCATATAATGAATGAAAGAAACAAGAGAAAAAAAAAATAGCCCTCTGAAGAACTGTGACTCTCTTTTGAATGGCAATGAGGAAGAAAACCTCATTTAGCCTTAATTTTAAAAATTTCAAGAAGGCACCAGAAAAGAAAAAAAACTGATCCATGATTAAAAATATGGAATAGGACTTAACAGCATTGGAAAGCCTGACAATTTATAGCTCAATATGCTTCCAATGAGGAAGATAACAGAGATACATATTTTAGAAGAAAGGTGGCAAGATGTTCTCTGATGTGGCTCAATTTTAAAATGGTATAAAACACAATGCAAACACAAAGTGCATATTCTTCCTTATATAGAATTAACTTCATCCCAGAGTAAACAGATCCACAAAAAAAAAAAAAAGAGCTTTTTAAGAGCTATATTTTGGTGAAACATCATGACAAAAGATGGGTTCAATGGTTGGAATAGATAGTTTAACATTAACAGATTTTAGAAAAGAAGTATTATTGTTCAGCAGCTATGTATTCTTATCTTGTATATAAAACTGTAAAAGGAAATACATCAAAAAGACAAATTAAAAACTAAGTTGAGGTAACTCCAAACTGTAATAAAATAGCTTAAATTTTCAAGCTTGTGGATAATTATATCTCAAGGAAAAATTAAAAAAAAGATAACATAAAAAACCTGAGTTAATAATCTTTAAGAATATCATGGAAATTGTAAAGGTATCAGAATAACAGTGCAAAGTAAATTGTACTACTTCTAAAATGAGGAGAAAGGAGATGGTAAAATTATCACTCTCCAGCAAAATTCTAAAAAGTCTTTAGAATGGAGGTGTTTTAAATCAATTTTTTAAAATGTAGTAGAAAATAGGTACTATTGTATCACTATTAAAATTAAATTTAAAAAATTTATTATAAATTATTTCACTTCCCTTTTGAACAACAGATCTTCTGTAGCTTGATTTGAGCAAGCATGTGGCAATCTATTTATATATCCTTGCAGCCAAGATAGATAAACATAGGTTGAATCATAATAAAATTAGGAGGTGAAGAAATGTCTACTCAACAAATGGTGCTGTGATAACTGGCTACCAACATGAAAAACAATGAGTTAGACCTTTATCATACATGATCTATAAAAATTAACTCAAAATGGATTGAAGTTCTAAATTTAAGAGCTAAAACTATAAAATTTACAAGAAAACACTTAACTATCATGAATTCATCAATGGATTATTAAGTACGACACCAAAAGCACATGTAAAAAAGAAAAAGCACAGGTTAAAAAGAAAAAAGAGATATATCAGGCTTTTTCAAAATTAAAAACTTTTGTGCAAAGGACAGTAACATGAAGACAGCCTAAAGAAACAAAGAAAACATTTGCATGTCATGGATTTGATAAAATTTTGGTGCCAAAACGTGTGTAGACATCTCACAATTCAGTAATAATAAAAAAAAATCACTATTTTTAAATAAGAAAAGGACTCTAATAAACATTTCTCCAAAGATGACAGGCAAATAGTCAAGTACATATGAAAAAGTTAGTAATTAGGGAAATTAAAATCAAAACCACAGAGACATATTTTATACCCTTCCACTTACGGCTATCGTTTTTTTTTAATGAAAAATATTTTGGTGAATATGTGAAAAGATTGGAACCTTTCACACATTGTTGGTATGAATGTAAAATTTTTCTGCCACTGTAGAAAACAGTTTCAACAGTTCTTCAAAAAGTTAAACCTAGAATTACCGTTAAGCCCAGCAATTCTACTTCTGATAAATACAATATGGCATATCCATACCATGGACTATTATGGAGCCATTAAAAAGAAATAAAATATTGATCACATACTACTACACAGATGGACTTTGAAAACATTATGTTAAATGGAAGAAGGCAGACATACAAGGACATTTATATAAAAGTCCAAAACAGGCAAATCCAGACAGACAGAAAACATATTAGCAGTTGGTAGGGGAAAGTGACTGCATATGGCAGTCACTGCTTAATGAGGATAGTATTTTCTTTTGGGATGCTGAAAATATTAGAACTATACAGAAAGATGATTTCACAATATTGTCAATGTACTAAATGTCACTGAACTGTAGTCTTAAAAGGATTAATTTTATGTTATATGAATTTTGTCAATAAATAAAATTAGGTAGATTTCTATATGAATATGAAAAAGTATACCCCAACAATCCTAATCTACAATTCATTTCAAGAATCACCAATCTTTTGGGTCCCCCAAACTCTGTTTTAATTTTTGCTGAATTATTCAATATTGGTAGAAAATTTACACTGATAGATTTAAACTAATGAAGATTTTTAAAAACAAGAACAGGAAATATGCTTCTACTTAACTATATTTGCCAAAAGACTAGAAAGAACAAAAGTTGTATACAATTACACAAAGTATTCATGTTTAGAAACCCAGAAGATGAAGGTAATGTCTTGCTTACATTATACAAAAATCTATTTCAAAGATTAAGTATCTTTTAAGAGATAGACTATGTAAGTTACATATTCCAAACTTATAATACTGAGCTATCATAAAAATCTGGCTTAGAGCTTACCGTAACTGATTAGAGAAGTCATCCTCTACATTGTCATCATCCCAGTTATCTTCCCAGACATGGGCATCTTCATCTTCATCCAAACCAGCCCAGTCTAAAAACACAGAGATGTCTAAATGCATCCCATACATTATTTCTACAAACATAAAAACCATTGGACACTCTCACAATTCAAATACAGCTAATGCCAGATCCATGTGAAGAAAGCATCTTCTCAAATCTCAAAATTTCTGCTGTCTTGTTCTCAATTCTTGAATTTGCAGATAATCTAAAATAGACATTCATATAAAAACCTCCCCTTGCCATGAAACCTTTCGATTTTAGGAGGTCATTTACTTCACTGGTTCTTTTTTTCTTTGAGCTGATTTTTAAAAGGTATATTTTATAATCTTTCAAAACAGCAGTAACAGCCATAAAGCAAGCTGAGTAGCAGGTTGATATCAACATAAAAAGGACAAGAACTTATATACAGATATTATGAGCCAACACTAGTATCTGGTTATTAATATCAATATAAAATTCAGATTCTTAAAGGAAGGAAAAGTACAAATATGTGTAAGGTAGAATGTTGCAGTTTTTAGTTTTCTAAATTTTGTTCTTCTATCCCTTTTGGGTAGAGGGACGGTTTAGAATAAAATTTCAGCTTTTGTTTAAAATAGAAAATGAACATGTAAACTAGTATCTTTAGGCATTCTAGTACTGGAGTAAGGAATAGTTATTGAGAAAGTAACACTAAGAGCACTAGGTATACAATTAGAAAAGAACTAAGTATCAATACAATGGTTTTCCTATAACAACATCTCTAGTTATTACTTCTATTTCAGAAACCAATGGGCATAACAAAGGTGAAACATAAATTGTCTCTATATATTCCTTCCCATATGCTCTTGAATATTAATTCTTTAGAACTGAATGTCTGAACTAGGAATTCATCCATGCTCCACGCTCTCCTTCAGTGCCTCAGAGTGATTTATTTTAGTAGCACACTGATTTTCAAATCTGTCACCACAGCAGAAGTCTTCCTTAAACTTTAGAATTCTACATATAACTATCTACAGGGTCCAAATTCAATACCACCAAAACTTAACTCATTATCTTCAGTTACTCCCACCCTCAAGCAACATGTTCTCTTAGCCTAACTAAGGAAAATCACAAAAATAGTCAATCAGTCTTACTAAGGGCCAGGTGAGTCATCACAAACTTTTTTCTCTATCTGTGATCCAGTCCTGTACCCTTCATCCCCAGTCATTCTCATATCAATCCGTTTCTCTATCCCTATTACCTCTGCTGTAGATCAGACTATCACATTATCTTTTCTCACCTATACAAAGCAATATTACTTCAACAGGTTCTTGCTTCTATTCTCTTGATCTCGACAAATATCTAGTCTCTAGGCTAACGCCCCTATGATTTCTTTTCATTTTAAATACACCAAATTAACTATCCTAGATTCAAGAGAGTATGTATATAATGTTCTTCTCCTCCTTGGGTTGACCCACTTCCTACAGTTTTGACATAGCTTTACATTTTAACACACACACAAATATTATACTACATAATGTATTTGTTCTAAAATAATTGTTATTTAATATTCAAATCCACTGAGATAACTTCATGTTGGCCATGTGGTTTGAATTATTCTCTCCCACACATTCCCCCATGTTAAAACTGCAATAAAGAATGACCCACAAGATCATTGTTTACTTAACTCCTTAACATTATGCTTCATATTTTAAAATTGCTTAAGATTCTGTACTCATCAAACATTTCATCCTGCTCATCTTTCTGTGCCATCTTCTGAACCTACTAATTGGTCTGACTTCTACCTATGTTGAATTTGGTTCAAATATTCATTCATTCCTCTATTAAGAGAAACCATGACTCCAAAAAGAAATGGTTAATTTCTAATCTGGGACATGGAACTTACTAGGCAAATCAGGATTTTTTAATGGCAGAAACTGGCATAAAGGAACAATGAAGTTTTAAAAATCCATAGCAATAATTGACAGAAAGAGAGAAGATGGGAATTCCTTCTTTATAGTCCCCAGCTGAATAAATACGAAAATAATGACAGAATTAGAAAATTACTATTTTGCAAGCCCTCGATGTAACACAGGTAAGGATCAATGATTGATATTAAAATTATGGGGTGCAAAAATGGTTGGTTAACAGGATAGATTCATTACAAAGGGTGAGACAGACACAGAGGTCACCATCTTAATCCAATAAACAAACTTATTAGCATCATCAATAAATTAGGACAGCTTGACTTATGTTTCTTGATGTGATGTAGTAATTATGTGATACTCAGTAATTACTAACGAAGTTGATCTAAATCTAATCACAAGGAAACTATCAAACAAATCCAGAAGGTCGAACTTTCTAAAACTGAACTTTTCAAATAACTAGTCGACGTCATGAAAAATCAAACAACAAAAATGGATGGCAACTGTTAGATTTAAAAGGACAAAAGTGATACCAACAACCAAATAATGACACAAAAACAAACTGAAAACACAAGACTAGGAGAAAAGTGAGACTTGTTTGTTTTAAACAACTAGTAAAATTTGAATATGGACTGTATTTTAGATATTAATGACTTAATGTTAATTTTCTTAGGCATGATTGTGAAATAATTTTAGAGAATATCCTAATGAAGGCATGCATATTTTAATCATGTCATTTTATTAACGGCTTACTCACAAATTGTTCTCATATATATTTGATACTCATATCATTGCGTATGAGCAAAAATGAGTGTTAACAATCTAAGAATCTAAGTGTCTGTAGTCCTCTTTTCTATGGAGTTAAAATGTTTTGAAATTTAAATATAAGAAAAAGTTTTTTTAAAAAATCAGCCTGAAAATCACCTCCTCTAGAAACTTTGCATGTATCTTTATCACAACATTGGCATTTTATATAATCACAATTATCATTTACTAAATCTATGCTCATTATTAGTGTCTGAGAAACTTAGGCATTCTTTAACTTCACAACCCTAAATTACAAATAATACCTTAGCATACACACAACATGACTATGAAAAACACAGTATAACTCTAGATCATAATACTAAGATCTCATACTGCAAACATAGAAAAGTTTTTTAAAAAGGAAGAGGATCAAGAGATAGATGGGAAATGGGAAAGGGGATGGAATAAAGAGTTAAAATTATTATGGCCAAGTGTGGTGGTGCACACCTGCAATCCCAGCACTCAGAAGGCTGAGGCAGGAGGGTTGCCATGAGTTCAAGACCAGCCTGGGCTACACAGTGAGACCCTGTCTCAAGAAACAAACAAAAAAGATATACTAAGTACATATATCAATGCCCCACAAGCAATGTAAAGATATACTACACAAATGTAGCAATAAAAAAATAAGATCTTCTATATTTTTGATTCCCAAACCAGTAATTATGAATTATAAACTCTCTTCAATATTTCCTAGCCATTATTTCATCTTAGTAGTCACCTATTATAAAACATGGCTAAGAACATTTCAACCTAAGAAGAAAAATAAGTAACAAGAGGTGTCATTCAGGCCTTCCTTATTACATGTAGATTTAAAGCTACTCAAGAATGGCTTATAATATGGGTATTATTATATCCCAATTATATTATATACATTATTTCTTTAAAATGGGATACATATCATCACCATAATTTAAGAACAGGTCAATTTTACCTGTCCCCGAAAAGAAACACTAGAAATTTGGGAGGCATCTTATCTTCCTTTTTCAATTATCACAATCATATATTTCCCATTTCAACTACCAAGAATCTCTAGAGTTACCCTCTCCCTATTCTTACTACCATTACATCAGTTTTGGAGATTATTCTCTCCATGGACTGCAGTCTTTTCTCTGTTCCCTTACTAAATATATATGAGAGGAACATTAGGTAAAGGTGGTTTGGGTTATAGCCTAAGATCAAATTTTAAGTTAAAAAGGACCTGCAATTCACACAGTAGGTTGTATCTCTGTAACACTAAATCACCAGAAGTCAATGAAGTAGTTTTGATTTTTTAAACTGAATAAAGTACTTTAAATAAAGTCAAATTTATCATTTATAAAATCTAGATTCTTAAATGTCAAACCTGCAATGCAACAACTAAGCCTATTATCCTTTATTCCTCCACATTCCCTTCAGTGTTACTATCTAATAATCTTACTGGACAGTTAGGATTACTTTTAGTTTTAAGCTCCCCCACCGCTCCCCGTACCAAGGATCGAACTCAAGACCTTGTGCTTGCCAGGCAGATGCAGCATCCCTGAGCTATATCTCCGGCCCATTTCCAGTTTTAATAACATGAAAGCCTTCCTGTATATATAAAAAAAATTCATATGGAACTACTTTATTAAACTACATTATAAGCCAAGTGTGGTGGTACATAACTGCATCTCAGCTACACTGGTGGCTGAGCTAGAAAGACTGCCAAGTTCAAGGCCAACCTGGGCAACTCAGGGAAACCTTGTCTCAAAGTAAAATAAAAAAGGGTGAGGATAAGAATTCAGTGGTAGACCGCTTTCCTAGCATATGCAAGGCACTGGGTTCAATATCCAATATTATCAAAACTGAAACAAAATGCAATGATTTTTGAAGACAGAGAAAGCCTTAAAGATTAATCATACCTTTTTTTGTTTGAAACCATCACCATCACCACTATCATAAAACAGATGAAAACTGCCTTATGAGAAAATATTTCATTAACTTTTTTTCTACCATTATTCCCCAATCTGCAGACTTTACATAAGCTATTTGGTCAAGCCTGGAAGCAAGAACTGTCAAATTAATTATCTGTTTCACAGATATTTAAATGTTTTAAGGTTCTAAGATATCAAGCCTGCAGTCAAACCTGGCCTACTTCCAACTAAACACCTTCCTAAACTTAAATGGGTAGTTTCCATCCACATTGGTCCCTAAAAAGAAAATGATGTGTCAAAAGATGCAGGTTAGAAATATGAAATAATGAATATTTGACACTAATTTCAAATACTAATTTCTGCTAACCTTGTAAGTCTTTGAAACACACTTGTAGAGCCCTGTTCTTCTAGAGCAATTGCCTTTTTCCAGGAACAGTAAAATTACAGAGCCC